AAAGTTGGCGTAGCTGCTTAGCGCTATTACGTACTGTCGTGTATCCCCCTTGAAAGCTAACAGTTGAAGATGAAACGATTTAAAGCTCGTCCGAAATCCAACCTTTAGATTTCTAGATTTTATGCTTATAGCTAGAAACTGACTGACTGTCGTCTGGGATACAAATTTCTACGATTTCTAGTTTTATACATCTTCCTCATATGCAATTACATTTCTCTTACCTACTAACCTTTTACATAATACTACAATCTAAGAAATTAATACAAATATGATTATAATTACAGCAAATATAAGTTGTGTTATTTAATGAATTCGAATTTATACAGATTTTATAAAGAAAAATTTAATCATTTATAGTTTGATGATAAGATGTGTTTGTTTGTTGTGTTTGTTATTAATTTATAACTTTGTAATTAGAATAAGATTGGTCAAATTACTGCTTAGAAAATTATTTTGGATAACTTTATACACACTGTCATTTTTCTAAGATTTTTATTTTAATAGTATAATATGTACCAATATTACAATATTTGATTATTCACCTAATATATATTTGCAAAAATCCATATATACACTAACTATACATCCAAACTTTTGTTTAAGGTAACTATTTTGCGTGCTATACACACTATCATTTTTTCCAAATTTTTATTTTAATAGTACAATATGTACCAATATTACAATATTTGATTATTCACCTAATATATATTTGCAAAAATCCATATATACACTAACTATACATCCAAACTTTTATTTAATGTAACTCTACTTTTACATCCACTTATTACATATCTTTACATAACTATTTATTTAAAACTTTTATTTCAATAATTTATAATAATACACAATGTAGATCAATATTACAATACTTAAACATGATATTTCCCAAGAATTATACAGGTGTCAGAAGTTGTTATCAAATTACTTAGCTCAACTGTATACATCATTAACGTACTTAATACGAAAACTATTTAAACTATTCAAACTAGTTCTGTAGTAATTAGAAAGCAATAGGAATCTCCCAATAGAGAAACAACACGTTCATGTGAATACCATAAGCAATTACACGATATAATCAAATGAAAACATCAATTAGAAACTAAACATCAATCACGACACACTTGTAGTAGATATTCGAAATTGAATTTCCCTGGAGTCGATTAAACGTTTCCCCATAGTTTTCGTAGAATTCGGAAACGATATTCCCTGATACGTATAGCTGGACAATTCGCATTATGCAAATGGAGTAACGATCGGCAGTTGGCACGACGCATTGTCTGAAAATCGCTGATTTTCATCGGATCGATGGAATAGTAGAAGGAAGAGCACCGATATCGAGGAAGAAGAAAAGGAAGAAGAAGAAGAAGACGAAGAAAAAAACATGAAGAAAAGTATATATATATATATAGTTTGAAGTTAGTTACGTTATGAATATTCTGAATTTTGTCAAAGTTGAGATAGGAGTTTGACAGTTTAGGAAACACGATTGCTAATCGCAATGGCAAAGTTAAATAGGTCGCTAGTGATGTCGATTATCAATGACGTTAGAGAGGTAAACCGCGTGACTGAGGAGATACGTTCGTGTTGTCTAAAAGATTCCATCGAACATCATTCATGGAAATTTCCAACGAAACTCGCAAAAAATGTACATTTTATGGAAATTTTAGAAAAACACGAAGGCACCGCTAGGGAATTGTACATTCTTCTCTTGGAACTGGCTTACGACAGGTCCGCTTGTATTTTTTGACTTTCACAAATTCTATCGCCCTTCTTATTCTTCGACTATCATCATCTGACGTCTTCCATTTTCACAAGTTTATGTCAAAAACAGATACGCTTCGTTCGACCCCCGTTAGATCCTTTCTTTGGCACTTTTACGACTCTTGTATTATGCACGTATCAACGCATATATCTATAACATATATTTATTAATATATAATTAATATATTATATTAATATAATAACTTTTATTATAATTATAATAATTTATATATAATATAATTTAATTAATAATATAATATTATTATAATAAATAATTAATATAATATATTATAATATAATATTACATTAATGTATAATATTATTATATATATATATATAAATATTTTTAAAAATTTTTTATTATATAATTTTTTTCTTTTATTTAAATTTTAAATATTTAAAATCTATTTATTTGAGTATTTTTAAAAGCTCATAACGATAGGAAATTCTCATCATATAATATACAATATATAAATCAAGATAAATATTTCAAATTATACAATCTTTCTCTTTCTCTCCAATCTCTTCAATTAAATTTTAATTTTATTTTAAAAGACGAACAAATTATTTTTCAAAATGTGTGTGTATGTGTGTGTGTCAAATGTTTCATTTAAAATCCTAAATTAATAATATTATTTCAAACGATAAATTCCAATCGTTCGTTTCATTATTCAGATAATTAATTTTAAATGATTACGGAAATACGTGCATTGCAAATATTTTCTTATAAAAGCTTTTCCTCTTCTTTGTTCGCTAACTGCAACAGGATAGAACGCTTGCCGATATTCGATAACCGATACTCAATATATATTCTGCGATGTGTTTATATGTGCATGTGTGTATGTATACACTCACGTATACATATATGTGTAACCCAAACCGTACTACTTTACTCTACTTATCGTATACTAGACTACACCAAACCGTATATATTAAAAAGTTAGGGGTCCAGACTGTTTGCTATTGACGGAATAACTTTACCAACAGCAAATGGTAAAACGATATTAAATTGTAGTATTTAAATAAAAAAGGTATTTTCTTGTAATATATTAACTTAGAGAAATGTCATTATGTTTACAATGAAAAATATAAAAACATCATGTTATTGAAAGTTTCACAAGATCGATGTATAAAAAAAAAAAAAGCATACGCACGTTCTAAGTTCTCTTTTATTTCACAGCAGGATCCACTTCGTTCTACGTCTTATCTTGGATTTCATAGACGAGTATCCTCTTATAGAAGAAAAAGAAGAAGAAAAAGAAGAGATCTCGGAAGAATCGACGAACGTGAAAAGACCGAATTACGTGTCACTAGCACGCATCGTGCATCTTCTATGGAATCGTTTGAAAATCATACCGGAATATTTTTCAAAAAGGGACTCGGTAAAAAAAAAACAAAAAACCTCGACTATACTTGGTCCATTCTAAGGTTAAACTAAGTTAAGATATATAATCGTTAGAAATGATTGTAGGATCAACAAAATAGGACAGAGGTCATCGTGGATTGGCACGAAAAGGAGTTCGTTTCGAAAGGGGTTCAAGCAAGTTGTGAGCTTAATCATTGCGAAAGTTGTAGTATTGCGAGTGAGATTATTTTACGAATGATAAATGTGATCATGAGTGCCTTCCATGAGAATAAATTAATTTCTGCCGTGGCTAAAGAAAGGTATTACTTCCGGCAAGTAGTTAGAACGGATGCGTCGTTGACGATCCTTTTCACACAGGGACCTCTTAAAAGAAGATATTTACGAGAAGACTCAATGGGCCGTGATGAGGAGACTCGCGGCAGCCATTGAGATGGACATTAAGACGACTTTCGAGATGATGCAGGTGAATGATATGAAAAGGGAAACGATAAAGAGGAATTACGAGGAAGAGAAGAAGTTGAACTACCTTCAAGCCGAATTGTCACGTAAAGGAACGGACTTGGATCTTTTGCGAGCTGAACATTTTCAACTCGAAGAGAGGATCCAAAATAGTACGATTCTCTCTTCTTCTTCTTCTTCTTCTTATTTACCTAGTTACTTACTTCGTCTCGTTACTCCCTTCTTCTTCATTCTTCTTCTTCTTTTTCTTCTTTCGAAGTAGTCAGGCTATTCATTCTTTACAAACTTTTTCCCTGGATAATATATATATATATATATATAAATAGCCTGAGAGAAAGTAGGAAAAGCAGAACCGAAGAACCGAGTTATCGAATTATTGAGTAGTCGAGCTACTCGATCGATCGATCATAGTTGAACAAGCGAGTGACCGTGATCGTTGATCGCCTTCAGTCTCAACAGACCTTATTTTTTGGAAACTTGTCGATGTAGAAGAAAAAGATAAAGAAGAAGGAGAAGAAGAAAAATACAAGGACGAAGTAAAAGTAGAAGTAGTAGCGAAGGGAAACAAGAAAATTTTATTACTTGCTACGCGTCTGCCCGGGGTCTTGTAAGCGAAAAGAAAACTCGTTCCTACGCGATGAATAAAACATTCTTTCTACTTATATTTCGTCTTCGCACGTGCACCACCACTCTAGTCGTAAGAAAAATAATTTAACTGAACTTTAACGGAACTTGTGTCCTCTAACCGTATAGATAATATATTTACTGATATATTTCAAATATATTACAAACGATACTACAAATTATTACTATCATTTCTTATACGTTGTAATAAGGTCTGTTGAAAGCAAAGAATTGTCAAACCAATCGGTATACATATATACAGAATGTCTGAATATTTATTCGTACAAATGTTGTGTCAGCTTATTTCACTCTCGAAAATAAAAAAAAAATAATGTTATATAAAAAGTTAAATCGAAAAATTACAAAACTATCTTAATCTTTGCTGCACACCCTTTCTGGAGTAACACGCTTACCACACCCGGGTCCTTTAGACCCGGACGAAAAACATTGTTATAAAAAAGAAACTATTGCGTAGATTTACTTCAACATTTTTTTCGAGACTTCTTTAATATTTACTTCAAAAGACTATGTAGGTTTTATAGCTTTAAATTAAATTTAAATATGTTTAAAAAATGATCAAAGTTGAACAATTGAGAAAAATCGATGTGAAATTCGTCACATGACAGAAACATGCCATATGCTACAGTAGTGTCAAACTGTATTGTATTTGTATAGGTGACCAACATTTTCAACGAAGTTTATAAATAAAATTTTATGTGACCTATATTTATGTAATATTTTTGTTTTGTTTATTTTTGAGCGTAGAATATACTCGTAACGTTTGTACGAAAAAAAAAAAAAAGGAAACAACAACAACAACAGACAACCTACCTGTATAATTGTTATCGGTATATATTGTGAGATCGAATACTTCTATTCTAAATAAAATAGGCATTCGTGTGGAAGTTTACCGAATGGTGGTTCTGGATAGTTCAATGGTTAGAGCATTCGTTTGGAAATCGGAAAATTTCGGTTCTAAGTCCTTGATCCTGTCAGTCCAATGATCACATTATTTTTTTTTTCTTTTTCATTAATACTTGCAACGTACGAACAATTATCAAATGATTTGATTATATCATTCTTTATACATTGTGTTGAATAGTTACACGGGATTTTGATCAATTGAAAGAAAAGTATATTCAAATGGAAGAGATGAAAGAAAAACTAATCGACGAATTGGCAAATACTCGCATGAAAATGGAACGTACAGGTAATCAAATCAATTTCATTCACAATTGTTACAGTATTATATTATAATCTTTAATGATCTATTCACGTTTCATTTGTAAACAATTTGATCACGAGCATGGTCAAACATTTGGGAATAGGGAACCACTAGAAAATATTCAAATACTCGAGTGCAACTCGAATAGTTCAAAAGTGGTTTTGTCATTTTCAGGCCTTACTCGAAATAATTCGAGTTTGTCAATTTTCGTTAAAAGTTTAATCCAACGTTTACGAATCATTGCGATAGTCACGTGTTGACAATGTTGTTTCTATCGAAAGTTGTATTTTCAAATTTATCACTAATATTTCATTGTTTTTTTGGTTGACTATTTTTTTTTTTTTTTTTTTAAATAATGTTACTTTTTAAACAATTTTTCAATAAAATATGTCAATTCTAAACGCAAAGCTGTCAAAAGAGGTACCATTTCAATCGTAATAGAAATAAGTGTTAATAACATAAAGCATCGAAAAAAAAAAAGAAAAATCAAAATTCAATCAAATCGACAGAGATCGGTAATATTGACGTAATTACTGAAAATATGATCGTAACGTGTTTCACTTTCTTGATGAAAAAGGTAATACGAGAGAGGGTAAGTGGGGAGGGGGCTGATTGTGAGAGAGCGAACGTTTCGGAAGATAAATTGAAATCTTACGAATGAGAAGGAGGAGGAGTGGGTGAGGCAAGCTAGACAAGGAAGAAAAATCGATAAAGAGAAAAAGAAAAAGAAAAAAAAAAAGGAAAATAAAAGAATGAGAAAAAGGACGGGGGGGGAAAAAAAAAGTGAAAAAGTGAAAAAGTGAGAAGCTGTTCGATGAAATTTCTCTTCTTGAATACGACGATGATCGCGATCCCTTCAATAAGCAAATTCTCTTTTATTTTTTATTTTATTTTTATTTTTTTTTTTTTTTTACTTCTATATCTCATCACTACTCAGGGGTTTTTCTTATCGCAGAGGAGTCATGGGACATTTTGCAAAGTCAGACCTTGAGCCTGGCTGAGAATAAATTGGAACTGGAAAACAGCGTGAGAAGACTAGTCGAAGAGAAGAAGAAGAAGAAAAAGAAGATGGTCGGTAATCGCGATGCGTGTCCCGAGACAGAAAGAGCTCTTAGGATCCTGCTGACCGAATTGGAGAGAGAAAATCATTCGGTAAGTCAATTGTATGGCTGAGTGGTGGAAAGAGAGGAGTATTGAAGGGAGAAGGGAAGAGAAAAAGGGTTGAACAAGGTTCCTATGAGAACAGTGCTCCCTGACGGGAGATCATCTCTATTGCTCGTGACATTTTGACATGAGAACGTGGTCGAAATTCGTAATATCGATTCAACATATATATATATAATATATGTGTGTGTATATGTGTTATATGTGTACTCATATATGTATATAACAAGTACTGCACGTAGAAATATATTATATATATATATATTTAATATATAATACATTAAATTATATATATAGTAATATAATAATACGAATAAATATAATTATATAAATTAAAATAAATAAATAAATAAATAAATATAATAATATAAATTAAATTATAATTTGAAAAATATATCATTGAAATTTTGTAAATACGTTTATCGATAAACGTTCTACTTTTTAGATAAAAATGGAGTATCGTGTTAAAGTGGAAGAATTGGAAAGGAAGTTGGAAGAAATGAAAAATCGTGAAATCGTAAAGATATACGATACGGAAAGAAATGAAGGAGAATTATACGAGGAAACGATATTAATGCCAGGAGATGATCCTGAATTAGATATGACGCGACAACTTATCTCAAATCGTCAAAAAATCGAACTCCTTCAACGACAAAATGAACGCCTGTCGAAGACGTTGAATCGTTTGAAAGAGTATCGTTTAACGACAATAACGACTACCACCACCACCACCACAAATACAACTACGATGACGATGATGAAGATGAAGACAACCAACGCGAAAAGTCTTTTCAAATGATCTCCTAAAGTTTTTTTTTTTTTCATACGTTCACGGATTTGCATCGTTCCCTTTTTAAAAGATCCTGATAAATCGTTCGAGATATCAAAGGCACGCGAGATAATGTTGCAATGAGGCGCAAGTAATTCGTTCCAAAAGCTTTCTTCGATAACTATCTTCCCTATTCTAGTTCCATTTTTCTTTATTTTTCCTTATGTTCAAACGGGTGACAATAATTCATCCTCAAAAATGCCAGATGAAAAATTAAAAAAAAAAAAAACATGTGTGCATATCACACAAGTTAGAAGTGAAACCTTCAAATAAACAAGTTTCGAGGATATCATTTTATTATCTAATATTATTTGTACTTTTAATTTGTAATTATTCATTTAATTATTAATTTAATAATATAAAAATGCGCGCCTGTGCGTATGCAACCCTTCAGACACACTTTGAAAATGTTGCTTGCAAGTGCCATCTATTGGGACGGAATTTTTTTTCCAGTCAAAACTGTTTATACACGTATGTATGACCGGGTTGCCTATCTTTCGGGCAGAAAAAAATTCCGTCCCGACAGATGACGCTCGCAAGCAACACTTGCAAAGTGTGTCTGAGGGGTTGCATTCATACAGGCGCACATTTTTTTAAATAATTACAAAGAAAGTAAATGATAAAACACTTTAAGAAAAAATGTTAGCAAATCAAATATTTTTTTCTAAATAATGATATAAATTGAACTCTAATATTGTAATGAAAAAATCATGTGTGTACAGATCACATAGGTTAAAAGTGAAACCTTAAAAAAAAAAACTAAGTTTCGAGAGAATGAGACGAATGCAGAGAGTATCAAGAGTAAGATAATAATCCGTTTGATTTTTTTACAAATCACACCCATTCTAAAGAAGTTTTCACTTGAAAAATAAAAATGAAAGGAAGAAAAAAAAAAAAGAATATTGTCAAAGAATTGGAAAAAGCGAGTAAAACGAGTAGTAGACCCCGAAACGAATCTCGATGTACCAAAAAGTTTTAATCATCTCGGGTAATTACGAACTATCAAGGTAGTCCTAACTTTTATGCTTGTTCCTCTCTCTCTCTCTCTCTCTCTCTCTCTCTTTCTCTCTTTGTCGATGATGGTACTAATAAATTATACCGTCAGACTTTGCTCGTAATCCAAAGTTCTTCGAAGCACGTTCGACTTCCGGCATCTGGTTCGTCCCTTAGTTGCCATAGTCCGATCGAGATCAAACTGGAACATTGATTTCACGGCTCGAGAATACTCCAAGAAACTTCGTTTCTCTCGAGTTTAGATTTTCAACGCTTTTCTCGCATCTTTTCGTATACGTATATACTTACCTACCTATGTAATAATGTACATATATATATGTATGTATGTATGTACCAACTCGTTTCGATTGAGTTCAAGAAATTCGGCTGTATAAACCTCATTCAAGCACGGATGGTATAAAACTACTTGTTGATTTGGCACCGTTCATAAGTTTCCCTTGAATAGCTATGTATATATGTATGTATGTATATACACGTAAGTACTCAATCTTACCTACAAATGTATACCCCAACAAAAAATTTCCTCGAATTGAAGATAAATGGAAAAAAGAGGAAATTGACTTTTACAGAAAGGAAAAAGAAAAGTTAATGCGTTTGTTCCCAAACCTTTTTATTATTCGTACGTTGTTCTTACTCGTACATAATAAATAAAAGGAAGGTTTCTCGGTGTTTTAGAAGAAAATAATTAAATTTGTTCTTAACAATATGTATGTATGTATGTATGTATGTATATATGTATGTATGTATGTATGTATGTATGTATGCATGTATTTATGTATGTATGTATATACTCCAAAACGTAAACGTATCGAGCGAGAACGATTGGAGAGTAAATTCTTGAACGTGCGAGCGCGTGCCTATTATATACATGTTATATAATATATTAATAATAAATATATATATATATATAATTAAATATATATTCTTCTTATTATTTTTTTCTTTCTTTCTATATATATATATATATATATATTTATAAATGTATACGCACACACGCGCACACGTATAATATATGTAACTTCATATTGAAATATATTCATTTTTAAGTACGAATAATTACACTCCACGACATAGCAAGTATTGTAAATATATTACAAATGTGACCCTTTTATTTTTCTTGCTTTTTTTTTTTTTATTTGTTTTTCATTTTTGTAATGTTTTTTTTCTTCTTCTTCTTTCTTTGCGTTCTTTTTTATTTCTCATGATTTTTATAATTACAATATATGAAGAGCGATTGACGACCCATCGTGATCTCTCGAATCATAATGAAACAGGTGGAGGAAAAAAAAAAAAAGAAAAAAAAAGAAAAAGTTAAACGATCGAACGCGAAATTGATATACAATATAAATAAACCCTTTCGTTACTACGGGCCATTATAGTGGTCCTCAATACGATGCTACTGAGATACTATTACGGGCCTTCTATAAAATACCGTATATTTTACATACGAACGAACATATGCAATTCACATCAAATATCTATCTCACTTTGAGAACGTATAATTTGAACGTTTTTAATATTTTCTTACTTTCAATATAATAGTTAAAATCATAGTTAATAATAAAATAGTTCAAAATAATAGTTAATATCAAGAACAACAAAATTATTCAAAAATAAAGTGCAGTATCGATGTTGCATATATATTAGCAGCTTATCATACAAGTCCGCGAAAAAAAAACACGCCCGTAGCGAAAAGGGTTTTAAATAAACGCGAAAATATTCGATAATAGGACGAAGGAGCAGCTGAAGAGTCCGGCTCTTAATTTTCGTCCTTAACACGTTCAGGACAAACGGGAAAATCTTACGAAGAATATTCTTACGGAAATCCTCGTCACAGGCCACGTGCGACAAAACGAAAGTTGAATCTCTCTCTCTCTCTCTCGACGATTCAAAATCTTTCTCATTGGAAAACTGTTTTGTTTATATTTTTTTTGTTTTTTGTTTTTCGTTTTTTTTTCGAATTATCCATCGAAAACCTTATCACTGTAATTAACATTATTATCATTAATTTATATTATCAATATATAATAATAACAATAACAATAATAATAATAATAATAATAATAATAATAATAATAATAATAATAATAATAATAATAATAATAATAATATAAATAAGGATCACCAAGATGCAATAATGTTGCATCAACTAAGATGCATTTTGAGTAACCATAAAATAAAACGCCATTTCTATACTCGTTAGCTTTCTTTCTTTGTAATATTATATCTAATAATAATAATTATTATTATAATAATAATGATAGTATTAATTGTCAAAATAATAATAATAATAATAATAATTAGCTTCGTTTGATTTCCCATTGGGAGCATACGAAGAAACCATGTACCATGTACCATGTATTTACATCGATTTTCTATCGAGTTTAGTCGACGAAACTTTTTCCCTATGGAATAATAGTCTCGACGTAACATTTCTCGTTATTGTTTAAACGAAGAAAAGGAAATTAAATAAAAGAAGACAAAAAGAAATATAATAGAAATAAAAGAAAAAGAAAAAGAAAAAGAAAACAAAATGAAAATGAAAAGAAATTAATAAACGAAAGTGAACTTACTGCACTTTCTCTCGATTGAAATGAAAATTTGAAAAAAAAAAAAATAAAAAATAAAAAAGAAGTTACAAATATAATTAATATTTATATAATAATTATATTAATAAAAAAAAAATAAAAAACAAAACAAAGGCGTTGTAATCGTAGAACCGACTCTATTTCTTTCTTTCTTATTTTCTATCTCTATTTTATTTATCTTTCATCGAGAGACGAAAGAAAAATCAAAAAGAAGATAAAAAAAAAAAGAAAAACGACGTATAAAAAAAGTTCTGTCCATAATCCTTTATTATGTTGGAAAAATAAAAGAGATAACGAAATAAGTAAGGGGATGATAAAAAGGGCAGAAAAATAAAAACGGGGGGAGGGGAAAAAAAGAATGAGAGATAATAAAATACAAGAAAAAAAAAAAAAAGAAAAAAAGAAAAAAAGATACAAAAGAAATAAAAGAAGAATAAAAACAAATAGTTCAATTAATATTCCTATTTAATATCCCTTGAGTACTGAATTTTATCTCTGCAAATGTTTATATTCAATTTCTTACTATATGAATTAATATAAATAAAAATTAATACATTTTTTTATTTGAAATATATTTATATTGATGACATATAAATATATATATATATGTATATATAATTTGCAAAAAACAACATTTCAATTAAAAGATATCAATTAACACTAGATTTTCCGAATTGAGCCAATTTGACTCATTGAACATATTTGATTATTATATATTTATAACATTTAAATACTATTTTTTAAAAACTTATATTATTATTGGTTTTTAGTTTACGCAATGAAATATACGTAAATATTAGTTGTTCCATTCCTTTACTTTCTACTCTTCCATTCAAACAATCATTTTTTTAAATCATTCCAAAAAATTATGAACAAAAAACATCCGTAAATCTAGTGTTAAATATATATAAATATATATAAAAAAAAAAAAAAAAACAAACAAAAACAAAAACAAAATAGAAATATTTATATATTTATTATATAGATGACGAGTCAAACTCGTCCACAGTAACTTTGCCCAAGGTAAGCAGATGACGAGTCTCACTCGTCAAATGTACCCAAAGGGTTAAAGAGGATTTCCTTTCTCGAAACAACAAGGAACAACACAACCTTAGCAAAAAATTCAAATACGATTGGAGGACGACAAAGGACACCTCCATCCTCATCCTCATCCTCATCCTCATCCCTCTACATCTTCATCTTCGTTTTTGTCTCTTCGTATTTCTTCATCGTCATCGTCATCGTCATCATCATCATCATCATCATCATCGTCTTTCCTTTCCAACCTTTATGCCTCGCTTCGTTTCCTCCGAAGAACCGGAAACAACTATCACGTGATTCTAACATAAGTTATAAATTGTAGCTTGAAGGATTTAGAATGCAGGAAAATGGAAGAAGAAGAAGAAGAAGTTGAAGAGGAAGGGGGAGGTGGTAGGGGGAGTTGGGAGGGGAAGGGGTAGGGGAGGGGGAGAGAAAAGATGTTGACAAAGACCAGCTTCGTTAACGATGCTGCTGCTTCTGCTGCTGCTGCTACTGCTGCCAGGACGACCGAGAGAAAGAGAGAGAGAGAGAGAGAGAGCTTTGTATACAAAAGGAAA